AAATCAAAGGCTTTGTGAATGGCTTTTTGCTCTTTCAAATTAGGCAGCTATTTATAATGTGCCCCCATGCTTGTTTATTGTCCTTAAAGGCAGTTGAGCCTGATTTATACCCATTCTAAAAATGACTTAAGGAGTTCATGTGATTCTAGTTAAGATAGCTAGGTGCTAGGTCCACTAGACCCTTGCTATTCAAAGGGTGGTCTTTGGACCCAAAGCATTTGGTATCACCTGGGGGCATGTTAGAAATGCAAAATCTTAGGTCCATCTCATATTTAATCAGATTCTATATTTTAACAAGATCCCCAATACATTAACATTTGAGAAGCACTGCTCTAGACCAGGGATTGTGAAAGGGGAGGCATGTTGCATTAAGGGAGCATATCAGAATTACTCAAGATACGAGTGATGACCCATTTCAAAATAACATATTCCTCAGGTGTGTAGGGGCAGAAAAAAAGGTTGAACAGAGGCACTGGGCAGAGTTTGCAAAAAGAGAATGTTTGGAATTAATCAGTGTCAAGATGTAGGTATGTCATTGAGATTTGCCTGGCAACTGTGATAAGAACTGTTGCTATAATGGAATGTGTCTTTTCCCAGCTACCGATTTATGGATATGTTTCCAGACGCCAGCCTTGTTCGAGACCTCCAGAAAGAACTAGATGGCATTATCCAAGATGGTGTGCACAACATTACCAAACTGATTAAAATTTCTGAGACACATAAGCTGTTGAATTTGGAGAGCTTGTCAGCAAGGAGCCAGTCACATTTGTCAGGAACCTTAAAGAACCAAGGTAGAAGGACACGTAGCACCAAAACTATAGGAAGTAAAGCTGCTGAGCCACCTGGCTCCGGTGCAGGGGACATATCCCTTGCTTCCAGATTGGTGCAGCAAGGACTCCTCACTGCAGACATGCTGAAACAGCTGGAAAAAGAGTGGTTGACACAAAGAACTGAACACGGCAAAGAAAGAACAGAATCTGGGACTTTCTCAAAAGGGGCAAGAAAAAAGAAGAAGGAACCTGATTTAGATTAGTAAGTTTTTAAAAAATTTTTGAATAAAAATCTATTTTAAATCCTTTCTTCTCGTATGCACTTACTGCCTGCTGTGGTATTGTGGCTGTCTTGTACTGTTTTTTTTTTTTNCGAGTTGAACAAGTTTAATTACACTGATTTTCCTTTAGTTCTTTCTAGAATCTGGCAGTCTGTGGTGATAGGGGCACAGTTGCTTAAGGTGGGCACACAAAGCTATGTAAGTGGACTGAAAAATTACTAGAAGCTTGTATATAGAAGAAACGAGTTTGGGGCAAAAATAGCACAAAGCAATACAACTTCAAGCCAGTAGGGACAAGGTTAAATTTTGGCTAATCTAGTTAATGAGTTGGAAGTGTACACAATTTAGATAAACTAACTTTTAAAATAGTTAAAGTTTAAAGTTACCTGGAAATTTTCCTTACATGGCTCATCTCGTTTGTCAGTGATGCTAGGTATAGGGGAACATATATGAGATAATGCAAGATAAAGTTCCTGGAGGAGGGCCGTGGTTGAAACCATTACTGTAGCTTTTGTTAAGAGTGCAGTTAGGTTCATGGGTGGCTCCCAGTGCGGTTGATAATGACACCCCCACATTTCTCTCTTGTGCACTTCATTTCTTGTTCTCAGATT